CTTGTCAAGTACATTTTTTAACCAAAATTAACAGCTTCATATATTTGACCCACAAACAACCATATTATATAGTCAGCAATCCCATTGTTGCTCTTGAATATGGTTGTGAGACATTTTCATCTTCCAACATTGATCTTGGATCCAAGCATTGGCTGAGAGTCGGTGTTTCCTGGCGATATCTCGGAGGCAGGAGCACCTGTCTGTTTAGTTTGAAGGGCATTGAGATCAGGGGTAGTGGTGGTAATGTCGTCAAATCTCCAGTCTGTTATGTAGCCTGGCTTAGAAGTGACATCATTGACCTCAACATCTCCTGATAACATGGCCACCACTCTTGACATTGGTGGTCTCAAGGTATGAGATGATTGTGTGCACAACAGAGCAATGCCAATCACACGTTTCACTTCTTCCATGTTGAATTTGCTTAGATCATTATCTATTAGTTCGACTACTCGGTTTTTCTCGTGTAGATTCCATGCCTGTCACCAGTAATACACAAAGAAAGTTCACTAACACAACCCATATTCGTCATTCATGACTATTACAAAGTAAGGACATACCCATTCAAGAAGATACATTTGTTCATCCTCCAAGTGCGTATCAGAGTTTGGCCTTCCACTCACTAGCTCAAGAGCCACAACACCAAAGGCATACACATCTGTTTTCTCCGTTAGATGTCCACGCATTGCATACTCTGGCGCAAGATACCCACTGCATCAAATACAACAACAAGACTAAAATGTGTTTTATTTCTTACAGTTACAAACCAAACGTACAAAAGACTTTGGGATACTTACATTGTCCCTGCAACTCCAGTACTTATGTGGGTTTTCTTGTCATCGTATAGTTTTGCAAGCCCAAAATCAGAAACTTTTGGGACCAGTTTAGAGTCAAGCAAAATGTTGCTGGCCTTCACATCCCTGTGTACTATGCGAACACTCGCCTCCTCGTGGAGATAGACTAGACCTCTGGCTACTCCCAAGCATATCTCAAAACGGGTTGACCAATCAAGATGTAAAGTCTTATCCCCTGCAACATCCAAATCAATCAAAAGTGCATAATGAGTGCGTTTAGCTTGGCAGAAGCATGGATTGGTATGTCATGTTTACGTTCATTACCAAATAGTGCCTGATCGAGACTTCCATTAGGGAGATATTCATATACGAGCAAACGATGATCTCCTTCAAAGCAGCACCCGTAAAGTTGTACTAGGTTGCGATGCAGAACTGCAGAAATTGCTACAATTTCTGCAACAAATTGTCTCTTCCCTTGTCGGGATCCAACCGACAACAGCTTTACCGCTACCTCTCTTCCATCATTGAGGTTTCCCTGTTGAATGTGTTATTCAAAACAAAACGCATAAAAAGGTATTACACATAGTCTTATTTCATAGTATCTCGAAGAATGTACAGGTAATTCGTCCATTTCTGTATGCGACTTACCTTATAAACAGGCCCAAATCCTCCCTCTCCAAGCTTGTTTGAGATATCAAAATCTTTAGTTGCACTTTTAAGTTCCGAGTATGTAAAGGTGTAAGGCTTTATGTCCATACCAAGTAGCTCTGCAAGTAAAAATCCGGTTCTTAAAATATACTAATTTGGAAGATAATATTCAAATTTAATTTTTAATCAGAGGGCCAAAATTCTTCAGCTCAAGGGCTCTTGTTTGTGTTCTTGTTACATCTATACCTTCATCATCTGTGTACCGCTTTCTTCTTTTTCGGATGATGAAGACAACCACAACTGCAACGATGCTCAAAAGTACCACGCCAACAATGACACCCACAATAGTACCTGTCCTGTTCTTCCCATTTGATGGTGGCTTATTAGCCACAGTTGGTGTAAAATCTGAGCGGCAATATGCAACACTTAGGTACTTTCTAGCATCAGGAGATACTGAAAATCAGGACAAGAAAGAATTTGTCATTTATGTTACCTGGTGTTGCACTAACAGCCGATATTAATGGCCCATAAGCCCCTTGAATAGGAATACAACATGTTCCTTTTCCAGCCCAGAAAAGATGAACTTCGAGGTAATTTTCTGACACATTTGCTTTATATTCTCTCTTAACTGCTCGAACATTAGAGTCACCCGCTGTTCTTCGTATATCAAAATCTTTTTCAACAAGTTTTCCCTGGAAAAAAAAGAAAGCTAGATCTCAGAATTCAATAGAACCAAATTCAAAAGAAGACTATTACACCAAAAATTTAACTTGTAAAGAATAAAGCTCGATCAAGTGGTGCAGACCTGGACATAAATGTCAAAACGTCGTCTTCCAATAGCTGTCCAACTGTTAGAACCTCGCATTTGTATTTCAGCAAAATGAAGTGTTACAGTATAGCCTCCATTTTCTAGCCCCAACCCATGATACCTTAGGGAAGATGCAGAAAGTCTTGCTGACTGAAAAAGCTCCGAGTCCGAAGTGTTGATAAATTGTGCTTGTGAATTAACTATGTATCTATTATTGCTACTTCCGGCAAAAAGTCCTACGCTACTGGCTGCCCATCTCTGAGTAGCACTCACGATGAACGAAGATGGTCCAAGATCCTCATCCTCCTTCTCAAACAGGGCTCCACTAACAGACCTTATCGCTGGGCCTCCGCAATTGATCGAAAATTCAGAATCTAGAGACCAATCAATAGAGAAAAGCTTAAGCAAATTTTTTTCCAATAGTACGTGCAAGCACGGTCCATGTTCTTGCTCACTGCACATGGAGAACAACGATTATAAGGATATCGCTATGATGCACTTACAGATTGCTTTGCCTCGATTACATGGAAAGTTCTTCTGCAGGCAGATCAACCCTGATAAAACCCTTTAAGAGAAAAGAATTAAGAAATAAATGATAAGTCGTTTATACTTGCATCCGTTTACAGGAAAAAAAATAGAGAAGAGAAACATATAGGAATTTCAAGAACATATTTAAGAAAATCACCTGTTGTCAAGACCTTCTAATGTGAAGTTGTTAGCAACTACGTTGCTGCACAAGTAACATAACATTTTGTTTACTGTTCCCTAACATATGATTAAAATATATATTTTCTACAGAAACAGAAGTTTCTTGCTGAAAATGAAGAAGCCTCAGGGAAATTTTATGAGATTGAAAAAAAAAGCGAATATAAGTTGAAATATAGTGTTTTGTTTACTTACAGTTTCAAGTTTGGTAAGCTGACCCATGAAGGAAGAATTCCAGACAAATCATTATACGACACATCTCTGTAAGTATAAAGAACAGTGATTAAGGTCTACAGAATAATGCTATATATTCCAAAACTGTTTCCTGATTATCTTGGCATGTCTTTCATGCCACCAAGAGTGGAACCTTATTCAACTTGAATAAGTTCCCAGTAAAAGGTATACAAAACTTGAGTCTATTTCAGGAGAATCTAGTAAACCCTCCAAAAATGTAGGGGATACGTTGTGGCTTTCAAACATGAAACAATTATAAAGGAATTTGTTACTCACATATTGCTCAAAGACTGCCTCTTTTGAGTGGGCAACGAACCATTTAACGTGTTGTTTCCCAGAAACCTAATATGTAGACAACAATTTTTTGCCTAAAAATTATCCGGGTAGTACTTGTACATAAGGATACAAAAGAAGCAGAAAAGATATCATCTTACAAGTGAGTAAGTTGACTTAAGTCGAAGAGTGAAGCCGGAATTGCTCCACGTAGTTTGTTGAAGCTTAAATCACTGGAAAATAGACATGAATTACATGGTATGCGTTAAACCAATCATATTTAGCAATGGACGAAAAGAAAATAAGAAATTATGCTAGCAATCTCACTATTTTTACAATAAAAGATCCTGAAACAGCTTTCAAACCATTTTGATGAAACACATCGACATATGTACTTACACTTGTTGCAAACTTGAGAATTCTCCAATACTAGACGGTATTGTCCCTGTGAGATTGTTGTTCCTCAATACTCTGCGACATATAATATCAATGTTAAAAAATGGACAGGGGAGAAATAGTTTAACAGAACATTAATCTGATCATGAATGGAGTAGAGTCAAATCGAAGATGCCTTACAATATACTTAGAGATTTCATGTCTTTGATGAATTCAAGAGAAGAGCTTCCATTGGATATATCACTTAGCCTCCTACATTTAGAATAGGAATAAGTGGAGAAAGAGAAAAAAAGAGAAAAATAATGATTCTGACAACAATGCAACACATACAGTTCTGTCAAAGCAGTTAAGTTAGAGAATGACGACGGTATTGGACCACTCAAACCAGTTCCAAGAATTCTCCTGCAGTAAAACACATACCAATCGTTTAATCCTAAATTCAAATGCATTAAAGAATTTTCCACTAAAACTAAATTCAAGAGCAATGGAACAAGTTTACTGATATATAACACAATGTAGCAAGGAAATATTCTTACAAGGTAGTAAGTTTGGTCCAATTTCCTATAAAGTCTGGTATCCGACCTGTAATTTCCAGATCCATAATCCAACTGGTACAACATTAAGGAGAAAAGAAAATGTAAAGTAATAAATAGATTTACAAAAAATAGCTGTAGCAATCTAACGATAAAGCTTATATCCGCATTCAATATAGCTTACGCGTCTTTCAGCTCCACAAGATTAGCGAATGATAAAGGTATGACTCCGCTGAGTCCAGAACTATCTAGGTAGCTGCAATAGATGTAAAATAATTAACTGCGCAAGAATTATTTGGTCGGTACATCACACTAGATGATCTCTAAGGTTAATGTTTTCACATCACATCTATATTATAACCAGGAAATAAATACATAAACATTTGACAGATGCACTCACATTTCCCGTAGTTTTGTACAGCTCCCAATCTCAGCTGGTATAGAACCAGAAAAGTTATTTGAACCTAAACCACTGCAGAAATATATACTATATAAGTACAAGGAACCATCAAAATCCTCCATAAACAATGTGAAGAAATTATCATATTTAAAGAATGAAGAAGCACCCTAAGCTTACAGTGATTCTAAATCTTTAAGCAAACCAATTTCCTTAGGAACAGGGCCAGACAACGCATTGATCCCAAAAGTCCTACGTGATAAACAAGAAAATGTTTGTTAAAAAGGCGCATTATTAGAAAGTCACCGGAAAGAAAAAAAGAAGAAGATATTCATAGCCTTACATCGATTTCATTCGAGTAAGATTTCCAATTGCAGGAGGCAAGGAGCCTGACAGAAAATTTTGTCCCAAGTCCCTGAGAGAAGCAAAAAGATGTGATTTTTCAGGATGCATTAACACAGTATTAAACTGATGATCTATAATATCTTAAAATCATACAGATTTGTGAGGTATTGCAAAGTCCAGAGCTCTTCAGGTATAGTTCCCACAACATCTATCGCATAAACCTTCCTGAGAAAACATCCAAAAAGAGGTCTTTAAGTTTGAGACTGAAGCATAGATGCAACATTCAGTGGGAGAATGCATCGAACACTTGGTGTGCATAAAAAGAGAAAAGAGACGTACAGAGCAGTGATACGGCAGATTGTAGAGTTGATGAAGTTACAGTCGCATTTGATTAGAGGGTTGTAGGCACGGTTGGTTATGGGGACACCGTCGTCGATGGCGACGCCGGAGCAAAGCTCGCCGGTGATGTTCCATTCACTCGGCGGCGGAATCTTCCAAGTCGCGAAGATGGAGTTTAAAGCGCGCGCTGCAAGTTATCCTCCAAATATTAGTTGACAACTTTTAATTTGTAAATAACTATATAATATGTTATATTTTCTCAAAAAAAAAAACTATATAATATTTGTCAATTAAAATATTTTCCTATATGCAATTTTAAATAGGGACAATTATAAAAATATCACTTTTTTGTGTGCACATTTACAAGAATGCCACTTAGGGATGTACATTTACAAAAATGCCACTAACTATAGATTTATAAAACCTATATCTTAAAATTCTAAACCCTAAAAAATGTTTTGACACCTAAAACTCTCTAAACACTCAAAACTAAACCCTAATAGAACATAATTAACTCAAACATAAATAATATAAAGAAAATATAAGTTTGAAAAAGTGGCATTTTTGTAAAGATTTCAAAAGTGTGGTATTTTTGTAAAATGACACTTGAAAAATGGCATTTTTTGAAATTTCTCTTTTAAATATTGTAACTGAAATAAAGGTCAATTTGTTTAATAACCAAGAAAAAAAATTAAAACATAATAACTTACTAAAAACCTTAAAATTAATGGTTATGATTAGTGCCACGTAAAAGGTTTTGCTTAGTTATTATGTTTTCATTTATTTCTTGGTTATACATACCGATTTCCCCTGAAATAATTGTTTGTCACTGAAATTTTTCTTTTAAAAAAATACCATAAAACATAAATACTTGTGCAAAAAAAAAGGTCATTTAGCTCTATAACCAAAAAAAATTTATATTTCCAAACCTACCTAAAACCCCTAAATCCAATGGCTAAAATATTGCCACATAGGGGGTTTTGACTAGATTTTGAAATAATTTTTTTTTATGATTATACAACCCAATTTTCCAAAAGAAAACGTAAATACTATAATCAAAATGTCGCAAATTCGAGTGTGATCAAATCCCTACAAGCATTGAAACATTTAAGTTATAATATCGTGTTAAAA